CACCAGTGAAGAGCAAAACTCTATAACCTAGAAGAAGACTTTCGAGAATTGGTGCAGGGGAAAAATTCATACCCCTGCAGCCAAGTATGGTCATGAGACTCTCTGGACTTAGCTCATCTTGAGGGGACAGGCAAACAACCTCCCGCTTGATGCTGGCTGAACTCCTTTCTAGCTTGGTCTAGGTGGACCTGCCAATAATGACGTTTGCAGGTACAGCTTTCTGATTTTTACATCTGTTCCACAGTGAGTCATTAGTGTAGGACTTGAGCAGAGTGAAAGAAACTGGGGTCAAGAAAACCCCAGAGCTGGAAGGACAGGGGGCAGGGTTGTTGATGGCGCATTTAAGATTATTTAGTGTTATCCAAGACCAAGGCATGATGAGTTGGAAAACTTGGTAGAGTCTGACCTGCGCCCTAGATTTCAGAGCATTCAGAGAAAGGTTGAATAGGATCCCATGGCCCAAAATTCTTCAAGCTTTGGGGAGGAAGTGGGGTGGAGGTGGGGGTGGTCAACTCAGGATGGATGAAAAGCTCTCAAAATCAGAGGATTACATAGAGCCAGTGCAGCTTTGTCAAGAATAGATGAGGTTCAAGTAGCCTTCTTTCCATTTTTCTTTTGGCAAGTTTACTAGTCTAGAAGGTTAGGTCCATGCTACTGCTATAGTTTACCTTGACTTCAACAAAGCTAACAAAGTTTCTCGTGTGTTCCTTGGATAAGATGGACAAATGTGGACTAAATGACCATATAATTAAATAAATTGGGAACTGCTAGAATAATTGGACATAGGCTGATATCAACATGTAGAGAAGTCAGTCATAGAGTACCCAGAGATCATGGTTGGCTCCGTGTATGTGTGTGTGTGTGTGTGTGTGTGTGTGTGTGTGTGTGTGTGTGTGTGTGTGTGTGTGTATTTCAAATTTTTTCAGTAACTGAGATGAGGGCATGATTGGCATACTTAGCTGTATTGCATATGACTCAAAGCTGGGAGACATGATTAACTCAAAAATATGTTTCAGACTAGGATATTGGGTCAAATCTAAAAAGTATTTACTTGGTAATCTGATTAGAATAGCATTAAATCTATAAATTCATTTAGGTAGTATTTTCATTTTTGTTACATTGGCATGCCCTAGTCAGAAGCAGTAAATAGCTCTCTAATAACTAAATCTCTTTTTTCTGCCAAGTGTTTTGTAGTTGTATTTATACAAATCTCTCATGTGCCTTGGTCAGTTAAATTTCAAATATTTTACACTCTTTGTTATTATTTTGAATGGAATTTCTCTTAAAATGTCTTTCTGATTTTTGACAGCACTGTCAAGAAATGTGGTGATTTTGTGGTGTTATTGTGTATACTGTACTCTTGCTGACACCATTAATCTTTTCACTTACTTTCTCTGCTACTTTTATAAGGTTGTCCAAGTACATAATCATGTCATCTGAAAACAGGGATGTTTTTATATTTTCTTTACCAATGTTTATACCTTCACTTTTGTTATTTTGTTTTATTACTGTTGTTAGCATTACGTCAAATAATAGTGAGGAAAGAGAGCATCCCTGCTTTATCCCTGATTATACTGTGAAAGTATCTAATAGTTCTCCATTATAAAACTATTAACTCTTATTTTAAATATATGCTTTTGATTATGTTAAAGAAGGATCCTTCTGTGCCTATCCCTATTACTGTTTTTTTTAATACAAGTGAATGCTAGATTTTACCTGAGGCTTTTTCTCTGTATCTATTGAAATAATCATGTGGGTTTTATTCTCATTGTGCTTACATGATTAATTGTACTGTTTTCCTAATGCTGACCCATCCTTACATCCCTGACATAACTTCAACTTAATGATAATGAATTATTTTCTGGATTTACATAGTCTCCTTGCTAGGATTTTATTTAAAAAATTTTACATCAATATTCATTAGTGAGAGTAATCTATACTTCCCTTTTTCTTTTTCCTTTTTTCCCCATTTGGGCAACAGTACCATATTTGTTTCATAAAAGAAGTTTAGTTGAGTGTTTTCCCCTCACTATTTTTGACATTCTTTTTTGTATTATAGATACTAATTGTTCTTTAAATACTTGATTAAATTTTATCTAATGTGGGGTTTTCCCCCACTTTGGCAATGGATTTGTAGCTTGCTCAGTTGTTTGTTTTCCTGAGATTGAGTTAAGTTTTCAAGTTCCTGTTTTGTTGATTTGCCTATTTGTAGTTTTTTTAAAGAAGTTTATTAATTCCCTTTTAAGTCTCAGTTTTGCTGATACATAATTTTGTATAATTCTTTTTATTTCCTCTTTGTTGTGAACAAACGAGCTTGTAATTTGGGTTATCTTCCTTTGAACAATATTTTAAACTCAGCAGACAGAAATTGATATGGCTCTTCAACCAATCAATCAGTGAGCATTTATTAAACACCTAAAGTATGCAGTATCTGTGATAAACTCTGGGGACACAAACACAATGAATGACATAATCCCTCTTCTTAAGGAGCTTATACTCTAACAGCAAAGACAAGAAGTACATATATAAATTTATACAGAGCAAATCCAGTAGGGTCACAGGAAAGATTCAGAAATCTGGAAAAAATAGACACATTAGTACACTGGAGAAACAGTTCTGGGTCATAAAGTGATTGTAACATGGTCAAGGTTTCCACATCATATTATCCTAGCAAAAGGATTCTATAGGATTTTCACTGAGGTCGTAAGCCCTTGGGGCTATAACAAGCTGAGTACATTGAGAGGCTGTGGTTTATAGCTTCACAGGAAAATTCCATTACATACAAATAAACATATGCTGCACACTCCAAAGGCTGTTTGGTAAACTCAAATAATGCTCTATGTTCATGGGGAACTACATGGATCAATGCAGAGAGAACACCTAAACCCAGAAAGATCTAAAGGAATATGTTTAATTGATCAAAATGATTCTGAGATTGCCATTATGAGAAATTAAAAGTACAAGGAAACACTAAGATGATCTTAGACACAAAACCAAAAAATCTGTAGACACATTCTTGGAAAGCTAATAATGTTCATGATTAAAAGTGACATATTTAAGAGAAGGAAATAAAAAGTAAACAGAGAACTCATCCCTGGTTCATTTCCAGTGTCCTTTGAATCTGCCCTCTCACCAAAATGTTTTTAAAATGCTTGTTCTAGAAAGTACTGATTGAGTAAATTTTTTTGTGTTCACAATCTAAGCCACATTTGGAGGGGTGGGGGTGGGGAGGATTAATCATTCTCTCTGATTTATGTTCTGTCTCCCACTAAAAACAAGACTTATGTATGACCATTCATAATTCCAGAGCACTGATGCTGAACCATGCTATCCATTATAGAGAGATAATGGAATGAGAGATTTAGGGTATATAATTTTATACATATATATATATATATGTATATATATATATATACATATATATATGTATATATATATAATAATATATATATATACACACACACATATATATATGTGTATGCATTTGTATATACATATACACATGTATATATACGCACACATAATTTTATATATAATTTATTAAATTTATATACAAAAATATAAATTTTTCACATCAGTCATCGAGGGAATTTATTTTGCTTGTCCATGTATTTTTGTTTTAAGAAATTTGCTTATTTTTCTTCTATTAAAAAATGAAGTAGAGGGTAGGGAAGAGAGAAAATGGATTTCTATTAATTAAAAAGAAAGGTGGTAGCCTGCTGAAGATGTGAAACATTGCATGAACTTTCAAATGAGGTCACTGTTTTATTAGACTTTTTTATTTTGTTATAAGAGGCCTTGCACAAAGCATGAATAACCTGTAAACACAATCTTCAACATGTGTGTGTTTACTTTTCATGACTCCAAGCATTTGCATGATTTTATTAGTAACTTCATTTTTGTCTTGGCAGCCAGGCACGTTTGCAATTATGAGCACTAGAGGAAAAAATGAGAGGCAATGCTTGCATGTTTGTGGAGTAGCTGGTACCCTACTAGGTGCTTGACTGGTCTTGTTTACCCAGCTCATGTAGAGCAAAGAGCTCCCCATGCATTCAAAGTATCGTGGGAGATGATATCCAGACCTTGCCAGACTTGGCATCTTCTGACATCAGTGGCTAAAGTCACAGCACCTTCTCCCTTGCTTTTCAGAGGACAGCTAATGTAGAGAGGTTTACAGCAGTATAGTATGTCCGAAGTCATTTTTGTTTTGAGATATTGGCACAGAACCTCACAGAATTCTAGGGAATTACTAATAAGAAAAAAAATGTTTTGCATGTTACCAATTTTATTTTTTGTACTGCATTTTAAGGGTTATCTTATGGTTACTGTGTTAGATGAGTCATATTATCAGAATTGCTGTTTTGTTATAAAGAATTGTATGTATTTTCATCAATCTTTAGTGAAAGATTGCAATTTTTGATGGTTATGGGAATTTAACTCCCTATTTCTCATAGGTTTAATATATTAACATTCGTATTTTTTACTTTTGCACCATTTTTAAGGAACATTAGCCCCACAAAAGTTGAGGATTGACTGCATAATGCAAAAAAAAAAATCAATAAAACTGAAAGTGTAAACAATGCTCCTGTGACCTATTTATTTTTCACACTTACTGATTATAGTCAAATGGACTCCAATTGTCCTTCTTAACTGCCCTTCCTCAAGAATAATAAACCTCTAGTTATTCTCTGGAGTAGGAAATTCTGCCTGATTTGAATTATTTTGTTTTGCTTTTTTGCCATGCTGGACCATCATTTCTTGTTACAAGCTACTCAGTAGTTCTGAGGCTACGGAAGGTGAGTGCTCCTGAAATATATCCCAACAGCCTACCATGCTTTTACAGGTGGGTGGCAGCAGCATGGGTGCAGAGTGAGAGGCAGCACCCTGTACTCTTGGACACTGGGCATCTCCAAGGTGTGGCTGAGAAACCAGTTTCATTGGTTGAATGTCTAGGTTATGTCCATTAATTTAAATTTTAGCCCATTGCTTTTATTTTGCAGGTGATTATGTATATAGGCCAGGTCTCCAAAGATATTCTGAAGTGGCCCCGGCCCTCCTCTCCTTCTGTCGTGAAACTAGAAAAAAGGTTAGCTCATGAATTTGGGATGCCATCTACTCATGCCATGGCAGCAACAGCTATCTCTTTCACATTCCTCATCTCTACGATGAACCGATACAAGGTAGGAAGCAGCCCTACTGATGGTCCTTCTGGTACTGTGGATAAAATTACAAGAATCATAGAGTAAATTTAGAACTGAAAGAGACTTTGGAGAATACCTACTGAGCTTTACAGAAGAAGAAATTGAGGTACAGAGGACTTGCCCTTCACTTTAGGAGAACAGATTTTCATTTCAGAATTTTCCCTTAAAAATGGCTTGAGTCAGGGCAGCTAGGTGGCAAAGTAGATAGAGCATTGGCCCTGGAGTCAAGAGAATCTGAGTTCAAATCCAGCCTCAGACATTTACTAGCTATCTCACCCTGGTCAAGTCATTTAACCCCCATTGCCTCCCCCTCCCCCCAAAAAATGGCTTGAGTGAATTTGAGATTTGTGAAACAGTGACTAAGTGGGATTGAACACCCACTAAAGCACCCAATAAAACTTTAAGTATTATTGTTTTCAATCTCATAGCCAGGCCCACATTTTAAATTCAAGTTCTCTTGGTATTTTTTTTTAGAACCACCAGACTTAGGAAGTTTCGTAATCTGAACAAATGGTCCAAACTGAAACCACCAAATTTATTTGGTCATGTTGTCTCTAGCCAGAAGCAGTAAGCATCCATCACCCTGAACCAAGGGTTCCCAGGAACCTCCTGCTTTTGATGAGGGATTGTCCATTCTAATTGATGGCTTCAAAGCATTGCTCAGGAAGGAACTAAATGGGATTAAGTTTACAACATATTTGCTAAGAGATTAATAAATGTGATGGGAGATGTGTTAATTTTTTATGATTATGCAATAGCTTGAATGTTAATTACACTAAAGCCTCCTTTAACAACTTTACAAGATTGCCTCACTTTGATTTTTTTCATTCCTTTTTATTGATATATTTTGTTTTTACACAACCTTCATTTCCAAATACACCCTCTCTCCTTCCTTACCCACAAGCTATTCCTTGTAACAAAGAATAAAAAGAAGGGGGGGGGGTGAGGAAATGTAGCTCTGAAAAACAAGCCACTATATCACCTGAGTCTATATATGCAGTATTCCACACCCGTAATCTCCCCACTCCTCCTCACCTCCCATTAAAGGGAAGGAAGTGCCTTTTCTCAGCACTTCTTTGGCTGGGGCAGAAGGGGGGGAGGGGGCACTCTTTAACAGTTGTATGACATAAAGATAAAACAGTCATTTTCATCCCCCCCCCCTTTTAGAGAACCATTCCTCTGAACTGTGCAGGCTGTCTAGAGATGACTTTTTACTCTGAAAATTTTAGACCTCAGTTAAATCTGAATGGCATCCCCTTTTAAGAGGATTTTACCCCACCCCCCAAATCTGGGGACACATTGTAGTGCTGTTTAACAGTTTGCTATGTTACTTAAATTGGAGTGGTGGGGTTTTTTTAAATTAGAAAACAATAAAAGAACCCCCAGGCATATAGTTATATAAATGTTGGTGGAGCCAATATCTGCAGCCACTCTCAAGCTTCTGACATGAACATTATCTAAGAGAGGTGAGAGCAAGAGCCACTTGTGGATGAGGCACCAGCATCCTCAGGCTGCTGCTACAGACCAGCCTCCATGCTGCTCAGAGTGAGTTTTTGTGACCAGAGATTCAAGCAACAAGAAGGAGACTGTTCTCAGGGCACAGAGGTTGGGTGGGTCTAACTTAAGACTACACTGATCCTTTTTTTCAATCACTTTTAGTTCACATGTAGCAAGGGCATTATGATTCTTTTTGTCTTATATGCGCATTTTTTATGATAAATAAAATTAGACATTTAGTTCTTCTAGCTTTTCTCCTAATTGACAGATCTAAACATATGCAGATGACATATCCAGTGTCAGCATTAAATGGCTAATTTTAACATTAATGTGGCTAAACATCCAAAGCTAAATTTTAGGAAGACACATAGCTCTTCTGGAACATTGTCATCACTGAGTGAGCATAATAAAGACCAGGCAATTATTAGCTGTTTGAGCATGTGGATGACATCTTTTTAGGCGCAGTTAATGATCAGACCCTCCTTTTGTTCCTTACATGGCCCCAGACCTCAGTAGCTGGCTAATGTTGAAATTGAATTAAATCTAGGGCAGCTAGGTGGCCCAGTGGATAGAGCACCAGACCTGGAGTCAGAAGGACCTAAGTTCAAATGTGGCCTCAGATACTTACTAGCTGTATGACCCTGGGCAAGTCACTTAACCCCAACTGCCTCCAAAGAAAAAAATTGAATTGAGTCTGGACTGTCGTCATCCAAGTTGTACATATGTATGTAGTTTCCTGGGTCAGGCTTATTCTTCCTGGATCATCATCCCAGAAGATATCATCATGATCATACTTTAAGGTTTGCAAAACACTTTGTATTCATTGGTTTGGGGTCTTCTGAGTTAGATGCTATTATTATCCCCACTTTATAGATGAAGAATCTGAGGGTGAGACATGTCCAGACTCACTCAGCTAGCTCATTATTCCAAATCAGAATCTCCAATCTTCCCATCTCCAACTTCTCACTCTAGTCACTACTTTCCACTGCCATTCCTATCACAATTGGGTACTACCAAAATATTGGCGAATATCACCAAAATAACTGCTACTCAGAACTTCTCGGTGGCAGTACTGTCGAATCCCTCATGCCTAACTTTCTTGGAGCCAAGACTATAGGATTACGAGCTCAAAGAAAAAGCAGCCATAGAAATTCCATTTATTTCACCTTGGCAGCTTCAGACATGAGTTTGTTTTCTACTCTGTACCACTTGCCATTTACCTTATCTTTCCATTTACTGTGTGCCTGTAGGAAAACAGTGCCGTAACTTCACACTTAGACATCACCCTTCTCCCTTCACTTTCTTCAGTTTCCTAGTTCTCATCTCTGGGTCTGTATGGTAAGGTTGTTGGTGTGGATAATGCTAGATGGGGGCCAGGAAGCACAACTCACTGGTGTGCATATGGTGTTGAAATATTAACGTGAAATGCAACCTCTCTTATTTCTCCTCTCTCTCTCTTCCCACAGTACCCCTTTGCACTGGGACTAATGCTGGCCATCTTATTTTCTACCATGGTATCCCTTAGCCGGCTTTATACTGGCATGCACACAGTACTGGTAAGGATTTGTTTTCGAGTCTGGAGCTGAATATTGGAATACTAGATTAGCAGGATGAATTCATTATTGCTGTTCAAGCTATTTGTATTCATAAAATTCTTTTCCAGTTTAATTCTTCATCCCATCAGCCCTGTGCTAGATCATTTTGGAGGATATACATATCCATGGTAACTAATTCCTTAGATAATGTTAATCATGTCCTATATTATCATCATCTCCATTGGTACTTGAGAAGGAATTTTATTGATTGCCTTTTCTTTTCTTGGCTTCTCCATGACTCTCTACTTATTAACTTACTCTCCACCATGTTACTCCTCCATCTTTCTCTCTTTCTGTCTCTCTCTCTCACACACAAACACACATGCACAAACACACACATAGAGTCCTCCTTATAATAAATGAGTACAACCAAGTAAAGCAAATCAACACCCAGGCCATGTCTGAAAAATACATGGAAAAACAAAAATAACTTCAGAAGGGAACACAAACATGGTAATTTTGTTACCACTCTTTTAAATTTAAATACATTTTTAAAAAGCTAATGGTTCACAGTTTTATATACAATCTTCTTTTTATATTGAAATGTTTATATTTCTCTATGATTATTAAGTTCATAATAACAAAGAAAATTAAAGAAAAAAGTTACTTTAAAAAGCTAGTTGCTAGCTAAATGTGTTCTTCCCAACTTTGTGAAAAGTGAAAATTGCTTTTATCGGGTGTCTTAAAAGATGAAGAGAACTCTTTTTCTAATTAATTTTTCTAATTAAGGCCTTTTGTTGCTGCCCAGAGTGGGTGGTAGGTAGTTAATTCAGATTTGTTGAATTTAATTGTTGACTAGTACTGGTTGTTGTTGTTGTTGTTGTTGTTGTTTGGGGGTAGGGGAGGTGAGGAAGGTGGGAGGAGATGGGAAAAGAGACTTTTTACCCAACAGAAGCTGCAGTACTTCAGTGGATTCTGGACGAAAGGGGTCTGTTCAAAACTGTTAAAGCAAGAACCAAGCAGTGGTGGGAATAAAACAGAAAATGACTTGAGTGACATAGGGTGCCTCAGATGAGACAAGTCAAGGATCTTGGCCAATTCAAAATACCAGGAAGAGGTTTTATGGTCTTTCTTTGTGTGGCTGCTGAACTTAACTTTGAGGGAATAAATAAAGGATGTTGAAATAACTGGAGTCATTTCTGGGGTAAGGGTAGCTCCGGCCATGGGAATGTTGTCTGATCAGCACTAGGTCCTAGCATTCTAGATACTGCACAGTCCTCTCCTTCCCTCTCAGTCCCATCTCACTTTCAGCTAAACAGGAAGTAATAGAATCCAGGGGGAAATTGGCGGGAAGCAAATTCTCAATTTGTTACACTGCTGTGTTGGAGGGTAAAGAGGCTGCTCCCAAATATGTTTATAGGCTTAAGTATGGAATTAAATAGAGTTCTCTTGGGTTTGTTGGCATTTTTTTTGGCATTTTTTTTGGGGGGGAAGCTATTTTGAATATCATTGGGTTTAAATTAAAAAACCATCTTATGAATTCAGGTTAAAATTCAACATTAAAGTATATATGAGAGGCTACAGGCCTGACTGAAAGTACATATAAAAACCAATTCAATAGATTTGCAACAAAATATTTTCCATAATGGGATGGTTGCCTGGAGGGTAGAAATATTGAACTCCTCCCTTGACCTTAATCTACCTACTCTGAGGGACAATAGTCTTGGAAAAAGTCTTAGAAGAAGAAGTGAAGGTGAGGGTCTGATTTTTCTGCGTTATTTTTCAACCTTGTCCCCATCAATTTCAGACCTAGGCTCAGCTGATAACCCAATGATAAGGGACCAGACTACTGTGATAATGAGTGAACCATATCTTAGAGCAGCAAAAGGGAAAGAGAATTGATTGGAACAGTGATTGAAAGACTTAAGTCTGGGACTGTGAGCAGGACAGAGTCAAATGTTAGCTTATTACATTTCTATAGGTGGTATGGTCCAAAGAGAACTAAACTTGAAGTCTTGGGACCTGGGTTTGAATTTCAGATCTGTTATTTTCTACCTTGGTGACCTTGGGCAATTAACCTCCCAATTTCCTGATCTGTAAAATGAAGGAGTTGTGTTAGATGGCCTCCGAGGTTCCTTCAAGCTCTAGACCTGTGATCCTCTGAATAATAAAAAAAAAAGAGAGATGCTAATTTTCTAAATTGTAATCCTCCATAGAGTCCGCTCCCTTCCCCTTTCTCAAAGGGAGGTTGTACTAGAACACTTGACATTGACTAGGCAAATATAAGGCTGTCATCAAATCCCATGGTATGTTGTTTGGAAGTATAATAGTAGAAAGAACCCTAGATTTAGAGCCAGAACAATAGTAATAGCTAGCATTTATATAACACTTTAAGGCTGACAAAGCACTTTATATGTTAATTCATTTGATCCTTACAACAACTCTGCAAGGTAGATGCTCTTATTATCATCCTCATTTACAGATTAGGAAACTGAGGCAGAGAGGTTAAGTGATTTGCCCTAGTCACACACCTATTAAATGTCTGAAGCAGGATTTGAACTCAGGTCCTCCAGACTCCAGAGCTGGTGCTCTACCAAGCCCCCAGCTGCCCCCTGTATCTTGCTTGTATGTAGTTATTTGCATGTTGTCTCTACCATTAAACTGTGACTTCCTTGAGAGTTGGGACTGGTTTGGGCGCTTTTTGGTATCCCCAAAATCTGGCAAAGTGCCTGTCACTTAATAAATGCTTGTTGACTTTCATTGACCTGCCAGGGATTACTTATCTAGTGCCTGAGACAGGATTTCAACTCAAGTCTTCCTGATTCCAAGTGCAGCACCCTGTCCTCTGTATCACCTCCTTGACTATCTTATGTAAAATTGCCTTAGATCCTTTCAGTATTTCCCAAGGCATTTATCTAACCAACAGCCATACTTTGCAGGCCTTCAAACAGAGGCTGCACCCACTTGTTAGGTATGTTATAGTGAAGATTCATTTCAGGTATCAGTTCAACAGGATGGCTGCAGAGGTCTCTTCCAACTCTAAAAATTTGGTGAAGCTGAAAGGGAGCCAGGGATATTATTTTTCTACTGGATCTTATTAGTGAATAATTGACGTGTGACAGAGAGTCATTGTCAATTTATTTTTGACTTGAATTGGCTGAAACCTAGACCTATTTTACTGAATGCCTTCCTTACTCTCTGTAGATAATTAGAGTTATTTGGCTAGATTATTTGCTAGTAAGTTATGTGTGGATGCATATACACGTGTGCGTACAATACACACATGCACAAAATAACCATGCACATGTCTGTATTAAATTGTGGGTATGTATACACATATATATGCATGTGTGTGCATGTGTATGTACATGTATATGTGGATATGTGTATGTATATATTTGCATACACATATACGTGTGTGTATGTGTGTGTGTGTGTGTGTGTGTGTGTGTGTTTATCTCAGTTGGAATCAAAGAACACTAAAAAGTTTTCCAAGTACTCAACTACCTATAGATTACACAAACCTCTATTCTAAGTCAGAGTGTAGCATTTTGATGTGTGTATTTTTTTTCCCAATACATCTAAAACTTTTCAGCCTAAGTTGCCAGTCACTATTGATATGTTGAGGGGTTGGAGAATGGGCAGGAGAGGGAGCAGAGGGCTGTGTACATGCTACCCTATACTTAATTTCCATTTAACTTTTGAACTACTACTCTTATAAGGGCTGCCAAGATTTTTTAAAATTGTGGTTCCCACCATCTTATTATATGGACTATTTTTCTGCGACCCTGGAGGGAAATGCATTTTTCTTTCTGGTTTTTTATAAGTTATTGGGATAGCAATTAGTGCTTCCCATACATTCCAGTGACTGTTTCTTAGGGAGCATGTCACTGGAAAAAAAAAAAGACGAGGTCCATAATTGTTATATCCCTTCCCAACATGAGAAATTGGGAACAACCACTTCCTAAATGAGAAGTGATGGAATACAGCAGCCTGTTTCTCTGGATAAACTAGGATTATAGGCTACTTTAAGAGGCTAAGACCTGGGCCTGGTCCACAGCAAGAGATGGCAGAGACGGTACGAGGCTGAGCCATGAGTTGATTGTGGTTGCAGGCTGCCTGCCGTCCACAACTTTAAGAAACCACTTTACAGGTCAATAACAAAGCATAGAGTCAAGCTGAGGTATCAGGCTAGAACAGAGACCCAGAGTCTAACCATACAGGAGCCAGAGATCACAAAGACATTGAGATCACAGTCTTGTAAGTAGCCAGGAGGCCAGTATCCAGGACAGAAATTAATCAAAGTTGGCCTCAAGCAGGGAGCCTTTCATGCTCTACCAGATATAGCAGGAATGAGGGACTGATTTTCTTGGGCGTCCCCAACCCAGCCCTGAGATTAGAGAGCTCAAAGGTTGCTCTATGGGCCTAAACTCTCTTTCTCCATTCTGTCTATAGCTTTACCTCTCACCTTTCCCGTCTTTGCCTTTCTACCGTGTATTTTTTAAACCTCTTTCTTGCCTTGTAGACCAGTCTCCCAGCTATCAGAGTCCACACTAGCTGACCTTACCATGATAGTGGCTTATGCACAGCCCAAGCATAGGAAGCATATGGAAGACATAGTCCAGAGAACTTCTCCCAATGACCAATGTTAACTCAAATCCAATTATTATGGGAACTGGAATCCTACAGATATGCCCTTTCCTTATGGCAGAATGCTACTGCTGGGCTACTAGGCAGCCAGGTCAATAGACATTGTTGGACAGCTAACAGCCAAATTGGCCAAAAGTATAACATCAGACGCTGTGGCACTTCAATAGTTTAATTTTTTTTTCATTTTGAACTTAACCAATACCAAATAAAATGAGTATTTCCATATAGATAGAAGAACAGAAAAGAGAACTGTACATGAAATCACAGGTCTCTATTAAGTAGAGCTTACTTGCCTTTTTAAGTATGATAAATTCAATTGTCTTTTTAATCTCCTTTTGGCCTTTATTCTCTTCTATGCATTTAAAAAATGG